AAATCTGTAGTCATTTGATTAATGCCTTGGATTGAATGCCAAGCGATTCATACGTCGGATTACAATTAAAACAAAACGCGCGATTTTATGCAATTTGCATCCGCCCGCCTTTAATGAAAGAGAATACAATGATGCGCGCGTGCACGGAATTAATCGAGATACGGTGATAATATTTTTTTACATTATAAAATTATGGATTATGTAGAAATTTATGGATACTACGACGACTGGACTTGCATAATGTAATTTTGTTTTCCAGATATACATTACGAGTGCGTGTGCATACAAATCGAATTTTTCTCTACAGATTTTAATGTTCAATTTATACTCTTTCTTTGAAATTTGATTATTTAATTTTAATACACACACAATTCTATTAAACTCATTCTATTTTACTATTGTCCTATTTTATTATATAATATACAATTTCTTGAGAACTATATCTACAGAATTTTTGCATTTAATTTTTGTGATTAATTATTTTTTATTTACTTATTATGTGTAATAGCTGTTATTTTTTGAATGTTACTCTTTTAATTTTCATATCGGTTTATCAAAACTCGCGGAAAACGTTTCAATATAAAAAATCATAAATGTCATTTGTCTTACTCTATTTATAATCCATTAATAATATTTACGATTTACTACTTTTTTAAATCGATTTCCGTGTCGCATCGCGAAGAATTTTCTCCGTGTCTTTCTCGAAAACTAGGGTGCTTCATCGTTTCCAGTTTTTCCCTCTTTCATCTGTTCTGTTATAATCGATTTCGGTTTTTTTTTTTTTTTTTTTTATTTTTTTTATTGACCTGAAAATTATAGTTACGTCAAAGTTGATCGTCGAGTGACGCGACGAAGAAATTGACAAACAACGCGCATATGCGATCTTTTTTTTTTTTTTTTTTTTTTTTTTTTTTTATTGACCTGAAAATTATAGTTACGTCAAAGTTGATCGTCGAGTGACGCGACGAAGAAATTGACAAACAACGCGCGTGTGCAATATATGCGATCCTTTTCACGGAAGCGGCGTATGCGTTTTCAAAATACGCACGATTCAACGGGGAATTTGCCAGATTGAATAGTCGCGTCGCGACTATTTATACAAATGAAAACGATGTACAGATCATCGCATGTCAACATCAATTATTTGAATCTAGGGATAGACCTTTGTCTTTTTTCACTCCGAATGTAAAATATATCCGCGGTATTCGCGTCAGAGTATCGAGTTATGATCACCCTTCATCTACCCCTGTCAATGATGCAACTGATGCATCGTTATTATGCCATTACTTTTGCAGCATTTGGCGTCAGGGATAATGCATTTTAGACATTTGTAAATGTTTACCTAATATAATTCATGTCGGATACGCGGTCATTTCGCTTCTTGCACATGTCAGCGTTGCATGGGCAAACATGTTATTTTATATGGGGATTAAAATTTGGAATTTGTACAATTACTATGTTTATATATAGAACGCCGGATACTCTTCATATTTCCAATATAAAAAATCGCACGATTTTATCTCTGAAATATTACAAAGTTGATTTTGCACTCAATGTACAAGAAACGCTTAGGATAATTATCTTATTTTGAAAGCACTGCGGAAAAATCTGGAGACTTCAATAGCAATAATTAAGTCTCTTCATTATTATTGAATTTTTGAGACACGTGAAAATGAATTGTGAAACTTCACTTTAACTTCAAATTTTCACTTCTAAGGATTTTATGGACTTTTTTAAATTACAGGCTACATTAAGAGAAAACTGTTGAGAAATTAAAATATCACGCACAAAAAGAGATTTCTTCAGATTTTGCTGCATTAAAATTTGTATGGAATTTTCATGGAATTCACCCTTAATATCTCATTTCGTACACACATTATATAGCTGCGATTCATTCGGTAAATAAAATTTCATACCTGTTTACTCTTTCTTTATGGGCTCGACAAGCTGAAATAAGTTCAAAGAAACTCTTAAAGTAAACGGTGCGTCTTTGTGCCGCGTCGTGACGAGCGTCGTCTAAACAAAGAGAAAGAAAATATAGTTGATGAGATTGCTGCCGAGATGGATGACAGCATCCGCAGCTGCGAACACGCGAAAATTCGAGGCGGATCGTGAGAAAGAGGATCGCGGAGAGAGCCATGCTGAAAAATTCGTTCAAGTCGGCGATGGCTTCGACCGAGTTGTCAATGTCAACGAGCAGCCCTGGCCCTGGCAGCCCCCTGGGCTTCGAGACCACGCCTAGGCCGCGCAAGAAGCTCTCCTTCAAAGAGCCGGAGATCTTCAACTACTTGAAAATGCGTAAGCCTTCGATGCGGCCCAAGATGTTACATGCGCAAAACAGCGTCGATCTCAGCTTTGACGAGAATCCTTTCGAGGAGGAGAACGAGGATCTCGACGAGCTCGAGGTAAAGGACGCGCGCATCTTTTCTTCGACATTTTATTTAAAAAAAATACGATATTTTATCAAGGAACAACAAATCTCGATGAGTAGAATTATTGAGATATGACCGATGTAGGAAATTCACGCAACGCGTAATATTATCTCTGAAAACCTGTTATTTTTATAATATTTGTATATTATAGTATAATTCAATATTATACACATCACTTATAGACAAAGATAAAATAAATTAATTTTACTTGATTAGAGTCAAGCTATGAGGGTGGTCAGAACGGTCGGGCAGGCTTTCGAAGTGTGCCATAAACTAAGTATAAATAATACCACGGAGGATCGTGATCCTCGAGGAGACAAGGACGGGGAGAGCCACGGTGAGAATTACCACGGTGATGTTTACGAGGACCAAGACGAAATTCCCAACGAGCAATCCCAGCCCTCTCCGCCACCGGTACATAAAGGTATGAACTGAGCATTTCATCTCGTCGTCGATTTCTTCCTAAAATTATTGCGAAAGAATGGTGTTAATATAAAAAAAATCATCTTTCAATAAAAAATCTCTGTAGCTTTTTTTTTTTTTTAATTTCCATCTCTATTTTCAGACATATCATTATTGGGGGATACTGAAGATTCGGTTCCCGAGCAAACGTCCGTTACCTGTCTACTTCGATCGCACGACGGCCCGGCGACAACGACCTCTACCTCACCGATCAGACAGTCGCCATCGGTAAGATTCATATAATTACGAACGTATCAAGAATATAGATCGCAGTGTGTGCTATTTTAAAGGATACTTTGCGAAGTACTTTGGCAGCTACGAAGGAGTCGAAGTCTTAAAATAAGATGGCTCGTTACCGAAAGCTGTTTTGCTCTACGGTAGCACATTGTTTATCACTTTTCAAGTTTATTTCGTCGGTACGCCTCATAAATTTTAAAACGTCTCCTTGCGTAACGATATAATTTGCTCTATTATAGATTTCAGCAAGATGCAATTTGGACGCCACGAAGCAACTTTTACGTCTACACTACTAGTAGTTCTCGTTTCTTGCATATTTTTTTTATCGGTCCTCCCTTAGTTTAATTATAACTATATGTATATATAGTTTATTTATCTTTTCTCTCTCTTTTTTACAGGGCACGGTAACTTCCGAGTGCGGAGGTTTATTGGTTGGTGGCGAATTAACAGCCCTAAAGCACGAAATACAGCTCCTACGTGAACGTTTGGAGCAACAGAGTCAACAAACCAGAGCTGCCGTTGCCCATGCGCGACTTCTTCAAGATCAACTTGCGGCGGAAACGGCAGCGCGCGTCGAAGCTCAGGTATAAATAAGCGAATCAATTACCAGAACGCATAAATATTTCGCTCAGCACTTGTCTATGCGTGATTCATCTCATTGTATAATCGATTATAATTTATCAAAATAGCAGAGGCAAAATAATTTAGTATATTTGAAGAGTATTATTTTTACACTTTTCTTTTTTAATGTCTTTTTTTTTTTGGAGATAAAACCATACATTATCCGTGTGTCTGTCAAAACGACAAAAAAGTAAATTTGATGAAAAATGTCTACTCATTTAATCTCATCAGTTTTTAATAAACGAAATTAACAACTGAAATTTTTTACTTGGACGTGATTCTTCTTCTTGTTTAGGCGAGGACACACCAACTTCTAGTGCAAAATAAGGAATTGCTAGAACATATAAGCGCGCTGGTGAGTCACCTGAGGGAACAGGAACGTGTTTCCGGTGGTCACGTCACCTCGCAGTCGCAAATACCGAGTACGCCCGCGTCCATGCAACAGAATGCGGCGGCTCCCGATCTGTCGAGCCTCGGCCAGGTAACGCTCTACCGAATTCCATGACACCGGAGTACTCCGGTGGAGCATGGAACCGAAGCACCGACTGATCGAGCGTTGCATTTCTCAATTAACGTTTAACCGAATGCATCTTGTATTTTTCTTTTTATTTCTCTCTCTTTTTTAATACCGTTAACGTCCTTTTTGTACCGATTTCTCACACCTTTTTTAACTTTATAATAAAATATTTTATACATACACAAGATTTTGTTCTGCACTCACTACACTACATTACATCGATTGTAATGCGTCCGAACGAAACTTGTTTTTTCTGTGCTCCGATGAATATTTAGCAATGCACGCGCTATGTTTTAGGCGTTTTCGTTTGGTGCCGATAAGACGTCGAAAACAGCCGTAGCCTCGACTATTTGCATTATTTGCGCGAGTATTTGCGCCTCGACCCTCAAAAGTGCGCAAAAAATACAAGTCAGAAAGCTTGCCGATACTAACATCGATAAAAGTAAAAGTCTTGTACGATGCGAGTGATTTGATTAATGCAGTGCGTTGCGTATATCTCTTCTCTTAATCACTTACATGTTTAGATCCGAGGTATCTGATAGCGAGAAAAAAATGAGAATGTCATCCTAAGATTAACGACTAATATAATAACAATTAAGCACCAGTATGACGGTGTTGTCTAACAGGTCTTCGCACGGGATTTCGGAGTACACGCTGCCAACCAATGCTAGGTAATGTTTTATCACTTATTACTCAAGATCTCTGTCGGTATAAGAACAAAATCCTAATCAGACATCGCGATATTCGGGTCCATAATATCTGACAAAGTATTTAAGAATTGGAAGAGGTAAGAGCACAAAAATATACAGAGAACAAAGAATGTAAATATGAAAAAAATATTTCAGAAAGAATTTTTAGTTTCTTACATATAAATTTCAAGATTCGTATATATATCTCACAAATAAATTATTGGATAAATTAACGAGTAAATACTCAAAATGTAATCTGGATCATATGCATATGTGTATAATTATTATTCTTATTAGAATATAAAAAAATATAAGAGAAAGAGAAAGAGACGAGAGAACAATATTTGTCTCTCTCTTAAATTTATCGTGGACTTTGGAAAGATCTTGTTCTCCAAATTGCATCTTCTCGAGTGTAGTGTCAACGGACCGGAGGTCAGAGCTCACCATGGGAGCTGGATCCACCGACCTTTCCTTACTGCTCGTATCTGCCGGATACGCTCTATTCCGGCGGTCTCAACGCCATGGGTATTCAGGGTAATAACGCTACCACGGATCAATTGCAGTTCCAAACACAGCTATTGGAAAGGCTGCACAACCTAAGTCCGTTTCAGCCACAAAGATCGCCCTACAATACACCGTCGCCGTACGCGATGGGTCCGAGTCTGCTTTTACCTCCGTGCGGTGGACCAACGGTGAGTGATTTCTCGTTATATCGACTGGATTTATATTCAAGCGTTTCAACATTGAGCCATCACAAAAAGCTATGATTATTTGATAATATTTTTAACAATGAGTGATCAAAATAGAAGATTTATTTGAAGCTTCTTAAATGTTTTCATGCTATTTGGAGAGAAGAGCAAGGGGGTTTATTATCATAGCTTTCTATATTATATTATATTATATTATAACTTAATGTCTAAAAAAATTCTCTTGTAAACTTTGTTAATTTTGTTAATTTAAATCGCAATTTTTCAATTCTGAATTTAGAATTCAGCCCAATTGTCTCCAAATTCAGCGTCCTTGCGGGTCTCTCAACCAAACAGCTTCTCCTCATCGCCAATCATGACTCACAAACTCGACAACTACGGAACAGATAATTCAGACGCGCATCAACATTTCATAAAACCGTTGCCGTGTACCAACGATAGGAACTTAACTCATTCGATGACCGATATTAAAATCAAACAGGAACGTTCGAATCCGCAGGATTCCATCGACATACCTCCGATAATCCTGGATCCTCCGCCGCAGGGCAGGCGCGTAGACAGTACGGCCAAGAAAGCGAGTCCGAAGCAGAGTTCGATGACTCAGAGCACGCACGATAACAAGAATAACCCCCCGAAAAGTCTGGCGACCATCCTGCGAACTTCGGGTCCACCGCCTTCTCGCACGACGAGTGCTCGATTACCCTCGCGCAACGATCTGATGAGCGAGGTGCAGCGAACAACATGGGCTCGTCACACGACCAAGTGACCGGAAACTATATGATACAATAATGAGTTGATAACCTTTGCCCCGACAAAGATTACGTTATCCACATATATCCCGTTAGATATAAATGATGAAGAAATTATATGCGCGGTTCGAGGACCTTTGATTTAAACGGATATAACAGGGTTTGCATTTTTCCTTCTCGATCGCTCAAACTCGAATTTCGAATAATATATCTCTAGAATGTAAAGTCTATAATTTTCCAATGCTTGAAATTGGATCTTAGAAAAACATCCGAATAAATTTTGTTAAATAAAATTTGTTATTAATAAAAATTTTGAGAAAAGGACTTTTACCAATAGATCACACAAACATCATTCAATATAGTCAATAAATCATTGTAGTAGATTCCTACGACAAACGTGTAAAAATCGCGATTTCAACAGATCGTACATTTATCTATTGTATCTTACGGAAGTAACATCTGTGGAGTGTTTATAAAAATTGAAATGATAGTCGCGTTCGAGAAATTTAGAGGATTTATATCACGCATGTCTCCCATGCGTATCCAAAGGGACGAATCGTGAATACATATCGATACGCATCGATTTGTACATTTACTCGTGTCGCGACATATATATATAGCGTACTACCGTGTATGAGAATTGTCATCTAGCGGACAAATCTGTGCCAAAAGTACCAATTGTCGAGAGAATTTATTTTCAGTATATTTTTAAGTAATGTAAATAAAAAAAGGAGAGATACGCGCGTGATCTCTCACAGAGTACAATACGTATTTATTTCCTTCCTCTTTCCATCCTTATATGTATTTAGTGCGATATCGCGCCATAATTAGCCTTTAATTTATTAGCGATTAAAATTAATATGATATTTATTACAAAAATTTGAAAAAAATTTTGAGTAAATCATACAAATGCGATCGTGATAATATTCTATTATGAATTTTTAATATGTATGATTATCCCACCCTTTCCCTTTTATTGGCCTTGTCCTTAGCTTTACTGAATAACATCTGCACACTAACGTGATATGATCTAATATATTCTCAAAATAATAATATGTCAAATTTGCGTGCGAGCAGAAGAAATGCTTACTAATGCGACAAAGAAGAATGCGTGTTTTTAACGGCCTTTAGCATGCATACGTTAAATGATACAACAACTGTTCATTATACGAATGGTTATTCAACCATTCCTAGCTCCAGCTAACAGTACGTCGGGAGATCGTCGCGAGTGTCGGATCGGATCATCTCCGATCAATGTTAAATCGAGCGTCGGATTCTCTTTTCACATATCTCATTTCATTTTTCGTTATGCACGTTAATTGACATAAATAATAATCAAATTTGTTTGATGTATTTGCGCGTTTTAAGCTAGATTCTGTTTTTTAAATAACCGGTTAATATATTAATATATATATATAATATAGGTATTACACTCATCTGTGCAAATCGACTCGGCTTCATTGATGGACCAAAAGACGATAACTCCCGGTATTTTGAAACTAGACAAAACGTCTCTGCGCTCCTCCGAGCTTGGAGCAGCATCTTCAGCGGCTATGCAGGTATTCCATTCTAACAAAAATCGTTTTGTTATATTAATATTAATACAAGGATGTATGTGTATGTAAAAAAAAAAAATACATATTCAATCATCGTCCTATTTGATAAATTGACATATTAAAATTGTTATGTTAAATCTTCCTAAAAGAGAGAAAATACAGAAATAAGAGAGTGAATTTAAATAATTCTAGATTATATATATATATTAAATAGCTATTTATATTATATAGCTCTACATATATTAAAAATTAAGATGATAATATTTTTTTCTTCTTCGATAACCTTGGTCTCATTTCACTTGTTTCGCGTAACCATTACTTACAGTTTTGAACAATTTCTAATAAATTAGAGCGAGACTAATTTATAATCGATCGCGGCGAGCATTAACGAAAATTACTGTCGGCCGATGCGAGCGGCATGCGAGTGATTTTCGTGGGATATATATACTATCGCGTGTAGCACGTATACACGATAGTAATCACTCCCCCTCGGGGAAAGTGATTACCTGCGAAACAGGGGTGGAGTCGTACAAAGAACAAGGAATATATAACGATGGCTTATTAAACGTGACTCATACTTTTAGGTTCCCGTTATTTTTATTTTTTTTTTCTTTTTTCGTACATAACTGATACTTTTTTCGATGTGAGCAAGCGCTGAGAATCATAAGATTACATTAGAAGCTCAAATTTACATTAATTCAAATTTTAGTTCAACAATTATTTTATTGCTTTATGGTTTAATGTCAAAAAAAAAAAAAAAAAAAAAATAATAATAATAATAAAATGTTATCAAATGTAAAATAAGATAAACGCTTGTAATTTATCTAAAATTACAGACCATTACTTAATGTCCGTATCTAATAAAATAAATAAAGACCTATAAAATGCTTTTTTTGAGGAGAATATATGCATTCCGCCAGGAATGCTACAAAATTTTTTGTGCAGAAAGATAAGTTTTTGCCTGCATCTAATTTCTATTGCTTATCAATGAAAAAAAAGCATTTATATTCTTTGTGGAAAGAAAATCATATTTTTTGAAAATCTAAGGAAAGATATGTTAATCGAAATCGAAAAAATTAAGAACTATTGATTTAGTAAATGAAAAATTCTCTTTTTTTAAAGCCATCTGCGTGAATCGTTAATACATTAAATAAGACGTAATATCCTCTTATTATCTTTGATCAAGCAGATACGTTGATCCAATCGAGTCGTATAGTATGTAGGATGTTTGGAGGTGTGTCGCGTCGCGTGCGACCTCGGATTACTTAGGAAAGAGATTCGAGTTAAAAATCGAAATTCTATCGAAAAGAAAACGAGTAAAGGGGAGACAATCTAAATCATAGGAAAATCCAAGATTCGAAATCAATATTTGGTAATATTTTGACAGATTAAATTTCCATCTTTATAATATAAAGATGAAAAACTTTAATTGCTGCATAAATTTACTTTTATTCTCTAAAAAAATTGTCCTCTTAAAAGAAGAATTTGTAATTAAAATTAAATTTATATCGAGCTTCGAGACATACTAAATACACAGACTGATATTTATTTCGTATCTTCGTGTCGTTTTGGAATTAATAAACTTGATAAAAGCTCTCGAGATTTTGTACGAAATGATTTTGAAAATGGGTCTCCTCTTTCTCTTTCTCTCTCTCTCTCTCTCTCTCACTCTCTGAGGTCGCTGAGCTCTTCATTACTCGCGTGACTGAAGGAGATCTATGATCGTTGTTCGAAGACAGTAATTGGTATCTTTCGCCCTAGGTGGGTCCGTCATCCCCGTCGCAGTCGCAATCGTCGGCCAGTCGACAGTCGGTTACGTTTGGTACCGTCGAGTGCCAGCGCGACGAAAATTACGCGGAGGAAAATTCGCGGATTGTCGCGGACGCGAGATACCGCGACGACATGCAGCGCATCTCCGTCGCCGGTTAGTGGGAATGAAACTCACATACACACACAATCCGTTGCGCGAAATATATTTGCTGTTATCATGACAGATCTACCACGCCATTTTTTAAATAAATTTTTTTACAAATCTTTCTCTTTCTTGACAAAAACGTCGATTTTATGCTCTTTTATCCGTATTTTTTTATCTATATTGCAAATAAATATAAATTAGATATACACGCACATTAGTCATCGTATAATTTATATCGATTAAATACGATCGAGATATTTTGCGCTCAATATTTTACTTTGTCTAATTAATTGTTGGATAAAGTTATCCAGCAGATAATCTACTTTTTTCTTGTTAACACTTATCTTCATATATTTTTAATTTCCAATGGACAATCAAGTTTTTTTTTTTTTTAATATTTATGATATCAAACACTATGCAAATTTTATATAGAATTGCTTTTCATTAAACACACTTATTTTACCAATATATTTACTTTAAGTCAAATCTTCCTTAATGAAAATGTTGAGACATAGCTTTTAGATTATAAACAATGGAAAATGATGAAAGCTTTTTGAAAATTTATATATATATATAGCTCTAGAGAAAAAAATAAGTAATAAAATATTCTCTGGTTAAATTAAAGATAGATTATATTATTTTGAGACTTAATTAGACAAAGATATATAATATAAAAAAATTGGAAAAATACGTAATAAATGATATTTCATAAAAAAAAAGCAAACGAATTGTAGACACTGTATAAATTGATTTTCACAAGATACTCAGAGAACTTGCTTTTAACATGGTGGATTAATAGCAAGATTAATATGTAATTCATCGACTTAAGATCTCGGAAAAATTTAATAATAATTACATGCAATTAAAAATGTGGAAAATTTCTTGTTAAATTTCTTTCGATGAGTTTATTTGCATTATAAATAACGCTACCGATTGTCTGCGACAAGCGATATCCACACGAGCGAATCCCGCGGGTGAGACTCCGCAGAATCTGGCACAATCGACGGAGAAATCGACCGTGGACGACGAGGGGAATGACAGCGAGGACGATTACTCGGCCTCGGTCTGCGCGATCATGCAACGACGGAATTCGACACGGCGACAGAGTCGGAGGAAGAGACGTCCGTCCTCTCCCTTTGGCGTCGACGTCGACGGTGTCGCGCGTCGTCGATCCTCGGCTTACACCACGAGCTCGGGAGAGTTAGTAATTCATACTCTGATCCTCAGAGAGTGAATAAAACCGTAATTCGTGAAGCTCCTTTTTAGCGCGAGCTTTATTTTTTAGAAATTCCACGAGCTGGAATTGAATTAATTAAATACGTAATCTAGGAATCTCCTGCGAATTGCGAGGTTTATTCACTCTAGCTCTGAACGTCCAAAACCGCAATCTTCTTCTTAGATTGCTGTTATTGCAGCGAGAGAGTTGCGAGCGATATTTGGCTGTTACGTAAAAAGTATTATATAGGCGATTACGAATAGGACGTAATTCTTGTATAAGTCTTAATCGTTTGATTAAAAGAAATGGATAAATTTGATAGCACGGTAATCTCGATGGAGGAGAGCGGCAATCAAGAGCAAATCTTCGAAAATCTCAAGCTACACAAGGAGGTTTTAGGCGGCGTGAAGCAACAGCCTTGGCCCCTTCGACGTAAAATCAGACTCGTACGACAGGCTAAGGCCTACGTTAGGCGACACGAGGGAGCCCTTCAGGAGAGACTCGCTCAAAGACGCAGCACCAAAGACGTCATAGCGCGCGTTTCGCTCTTCGTGACCCAGGTACGTATTTCGCTCCCTCCGATAAGTCCGTCATGTGAAATTTATGAGTGTACGTACCGAGAGAGATCGCGATAGATATAAATCATCTCTTTTTAGAAATGGCAGTACTTCCGACGTGAGCTTATCAATCTGCGAACGTGGCTCGTGCCCTGGGAGATCCGTATCATGGAGATAGAGTCTCATTTCGGATCCGCCGTCGCCTCTTACTTCACTTTCCTCCGCTGGCTCTTCTGGATCAACCTCGTCATCGCGGCGACCCTCACGGCGTTCGTCGCGATACCCGAGGTAAGATATCTTCAATCGGTGGAGAAATTATTTTTTTCGCGATTTTGTCAAGCGACTATATATTAGCGAAATATTCTTTACTTCCAAGATGGAAACTACGCTTTTTTGCAATGTTCCCTGCCAGATGTTGACCGCGAATGCGACCCTTGCCGGCGAGAGGAAAATCATGCTGAAGGAGGAGAGCGTCAAGTCTAAGCATCTGTTGACCCTGTGGGAATTCGAGGGCTTGCTAAAATACTCCCCGTTCTTCTACGGATGGTATACCAATCAAGACTCCAACAGCAATTATCGACTACCTATGGCGTACTTTGTCACTAATTTGGTCGTGTACACGTACAGCTTCGTCGCGATCCTCCGCAAGTACCTAGACTTAGATCTCTTGCTATCGTTAAATTTCGCAGAGCACAGCTTCTCTTCGAAAAAAAATTTAATAACAACATTCTCGAGATCTTTAATTATAGAGAGCTGGTCGAGACACATCCTGTGTACCATATCTTTTTTGCGAGAAGAGATGCTGTGTATTTTTCAAACAAATGTATCGTGAAGTCTCTTTGTTATTTCCGGAATTACTCGCGATCCTTGTTAGAGAGTAACGAAGCGAGTGGATATTTCGTTTCAGAATGGCGGAAAATTCGCGTCTGAGCAAACTGACCGAGAAGGAGGACGAGTACGTTTTTTCATGGAAACTCTTCACAGGATGGGACTTTATGATTGGTAATCCGGAGACCGCGCACAATCGTACAGCCAGCATCGTGCTAGGCTTCAAGGAGGTCCTGCTGGAGGAAGCGGAGAAGCAAAAGGATAACAGAAAGTGAGCTAGAAGTTTACGGATATAAACCGCCACATATTTCGAATTTTTGTTCCCGTTAAAAGTCTTCATCAAACTTTGAGAAAATCCTTTGTTTAAAAAAAAAAAAATTTTATCCGTACTTTATAGCTGGAAGATCATATCGATGAGGATATTCGTGAACGTCGCGGTGTTATCTTTACTCACGTTATCGGCGTACGCCGTGATCGAGGTGGTTGGACGAAGCACGACGGAGATCGATTCGCACAACTGGTGGCGACAGAACGAGATCACGATTGTTATGTCTTTAATCACGAGCCTCTTCCCGATATTCTTCGAGATCCTCGGCTTCCTCGAAAGCTATCATCCCAGGAAGCAGCTCCGGATACAACTGGCGCGGTAAAGTCGTCACTTAATTATATCGATGGAAAATACAAACGATACACTTGACTGCTTGTTTCAGGATAATGGTCTTGAATTTGCTAAACCTCTACTCGCTGATATTCGCATTATTTCAAAAAGTAAACTCCATGGTGCGTAATCCGTATATTATCGTTCGTAGAAAAATCTCGTAGCACGTAGATAAAGTGAGAATGTGTTATTTGTGATTTTATCCGTGTTTTACACGCAATCATCGACTAAGTTTTATTATATTTTCTTCGCAGAAAGACGATCTTTCTGATCTCAAACCGACAAACACGAATTGCGTGTATAAAATGGTAGCGTGCGGTGACGAGCTGACGCGTACGCAGCAAATCGCGACATTGGCGTCTTTGAGTCTCGTTTTAATAAGCAACATTACCCATTCCCATGCTAAGAGACAAATTACAGAACCAAGTATGATCCACTTATCAAGAAATATACTTCCGATAGACATACACATGCTATTTCAACTTAGTTTATAATTTATTAGCTTACAATTTATAAGCTTATAATTTATATAATTTATATATAAATTTCAAAAAATATTCATGTCTTAATTATGCTTTAATTATCTAACTTTTTAACTTGTTTACGAGATACTTTGTAAAACGAGAAGAGTTACAACGCGAAAGAAATTATTCGGAAAAAATTAATGGCAAATGTGTCGCTTTATTATATATATTCCTTATCCGTGAAGATATAATAAATGTCGTAACTTTTTCCGGCGAGAAATTTTGATCGGCACGATCGTTTTTATTCAGCGCTAACATCCATCAGACAGGAAACGTACTTCCTTAATCCCTTTCTGGACGACGATACGTTGGATTATTCGGACATTGATTACGAGAGTTACCTATACGAAACTTCGAATAGCAGCGACGAATCTTATACCGCATCTTATGAAGAACAAAATAGCAGCATAGAGGATAACGGAACGTATGGCTACGACACAAGTTCCACTGTAATCGCCAATTATCTCACTGATTCGACGATAGTCGAAGATTTTTATACAAATTCTATTTGGTCTCAGGGTAAAAACGCGACGTCGACAATTATCGAAACGAGCACGATGGAAGGTAAAGATCATTATCTTAATTAATAATCAAAGTGTAAATTATGATAAAGCTATTTATATTATTTACTATTAAATAAAATATTTTCAACTGTAGATAACAAATTACATACACATTGACAACACACAAATAATAAATTGCATTGTATTAATTGCAGATTCATCAACGATCACGGATGATTTTATCGATAAAACAATAATTACTTCGTCGTCTCTAGACAACGAGGTGTCATCTACTGGAAAATTCTCATCTACAGTAGAAATCACACCTAGAACAGTTACAACGATTAGCTCGGAAAGTAGCCTTTCTACTTTGCAATCGAGAGAAAATTATACAGTGAAATGCTTCGAAAAAAACTGCACCACTACGTCGCCGAAGAATTTAGGTAAACGCTCGTCAAGTCTACTTTATTGTTCTTCAATTTATTTCCGGTAGCTTTAAATATGTAAACTTTTGCGCGCTTCCAGCCATTCCCTTGGAACAATTAGATCCAAACACCCGCAGAAAACTGCGTCGACTGTGCTGGGAAACTATGTTCGGCCAGGAACTCGCCAAGCTCACCGTCATGGACTTGGTAAGACACACAAAGTGAACAGGGCAAAATGCAAGGAATTACACAAATAAAAAAATTAAAAATAAAACAAGTTGCAAAAAGCGCGCATTATTAAGGGGGCATATCCGTTTGAACCTTTGAAAAATGAGTATATTTTCTAGATTTTTTGCAGCGCAATGATCTGATAAAAATTTTTTTCTTTTTTTACAATATTAATACAATATTATTAAGTACTTAAATAAAAATTTTCAGGCCAAAATCTGATTGATTTTCAGAATCGTCGTTCCATTATTAGAGAAATATTTCGAAAGTTTGTAATAATATATAATTATTATAATTACAAATAATATATATAATTATTAATTATAAATTATTATAATTAATTATGTATATTATTAAAATATTACAATATCTGTGTGTTATATAAAATATTATAAAATATGGTTTTTATTAACATTGGTTTTTATAAATAATACAATATTATTAAGTACTTAAATAAAAATTTTCAGGCCAAAAGATTTTTTTTTTTTTTTTAAGTTATACGAATATTTGCAGATTTATATTTTGATGCACACTGTGCATGAAAACTCAGGCTACATTCAACGGATTGACTTCAAATTTTGCGTGCGAGTTCTTAATAAGATTCCGCATCTACTAACGAAGCTTTTTTTAATCCGATTCCCTATTTTTTTGTTATAAACAAAAAAAAGATGGATTTTTTTTTTTTAAACGAAACTTTTTTTCAACATGCCGTAATTTTTCGAGAGTTCAAACGGGTATGGCCCCTTAATGTTTCGACTTAATTTTTCGCATATTATGTTTCTTCGATAGATAGTTAATCCACACAAATACACACAGATATACATTTTTGCGGTGGTTCATCGTGTTTCTTCTCCGTTTCTCAGATACTCACTATATTAACTACCCTCAGCATGGATTTCTTCCGCGCCGTTTTCGTGCGTTACATGAACAACTGCTGGTGCTGGGACTTGGAGAAACAATTTCCGCAATACGGCGACTTCAAGATCGCCGAGAACATACTTCACTTGGTGTACAATCAAGGCATGGTTTGGATGGGCATGTTTTTCAGTCCCGGTTTGACAGCGCTAAACCTTCTCAAGCTCGGCATCTTGATGTACCTACGTTCCTGGGCGGTTCTCACATGCAACGTGCCGCACGAGGTGGTTTTCCGAGCCTCCAGGTCAGCTCGTAACGCATTATTTATTACACGCTTTTATGGCACACATGCACAATTTTAAATAAATTCTAAATAAATTATATTTTGGAAGATTTAAAATATCGCTATATTACATACGCGTTGCCCCCTCCCCTCCCCCTTTTTATCAATCGTCTTATGCATCTTTCTACACTTATCTAATTGCAGATCCAACAATTTCTACTTTGCGCTTCTACTGACCATGCTGTTTTTGTGCGTGTTGCCGGTCGGTTACGCAATAGTCTGGGTCGAGCCTTCGTGGCATTGCGGCCCATTTTCTGGTTATCCAAAGATTTATAATTTAGCGACACAGACCTTGATAAATTCGCTTCCACAAGTGATTCAACGGTGTGTCTCCGCACGCTTTGTCAAAGGCATTCAATTATTATTACTACATCATATTTTTTATTACTTTTTAAATAGATATTTAGTATAATAAATATTTGATAATTACCAAAAAAAGTTTCTTCTTGGATAAAAACTTTTAAAAAATATAATCAATAAAAATATAATTCTTATATTTAAAATATCTAATTATATATAAGTATATAATTATACTATTATAAAATATTTTATAAAATATTAAAATATCTACACAAAATATTAATTAAATATTAATTATATTAATTATCGAGAAAATAAAAAAAGAACGAGCAATGTATATTTTGAAAATATTATAACATATGATATGGATTTCCAATTTAGCCGTTATGTACCGACAATTTTCTAGCCTATACGAAAAAAAAAATAGCTGCCGTAACTAAAAACTGCGTGTGGTAACTAGATCTTAGTTGTAATATATGGACAGCGAATATCTTAGCTATGTGATATCTATTTATTAGGTGCAATAGCAAACCGTTTTGCTGTAGTTCAGAAATTTATTTTATTTTGCAAATTATGATTAGCTATAATAGCGAAAAGCTTTTTCTGCGCGTACGATTTTTTGGGAAAGTTTAAGGAATTATTATAGTCTCTCAAATTGAGAGATTTTATAATTATTGATACCGATTAACAAAGAAAAAGTGTGCCAAGTGGATATAAAATGATAAATACAAATATAAATTACTTACCGTTGCTCCGTCCATCGCCTGATGCTTTTCCGAACTTCTTTTTCCTCTCCTGTTTCTTTGCTGTATCCACGTAGCACTTATACTCACTCGCGAAAACACGGTTAATAATGATTAGTCGAATACGTGATGATTGCGGGACACTGCACGGTTCTTCCAATCGCGAAACAATCGCATGCACAGTCGATCTTCGATAAAGATTTATCATCGTGATACAGTTTTTTTTTTTTTTTTTAAGTTATACGAATATTTGCAGATTTATATTTTGATGCACACTGTGCATGAAAACTCAGGCTACATTCAACGGATTGACTTCAAATTTTGCGTGCGAGTTCTTAATAAGATTCCGCATCTACTAACGAAGCTTTTTTTAATCCGATTCCCTATTTTTTTGTTATAAACAAAAAAAAGATGGATTTTTTTTTTTTAAACGAAACTTTTTTTCAACATGCCGTAATTTTTCGAGAGTTCAAACGGGTATGGCCCCTTAATGTTTCGACTTAAATTTTCGCATATTATGTTTCTTCGATAGATAGTTAATCCACACAAATACACACAGATATACATTTTTGCGGTGGTTCATCGTGTTTCTTCTCCGTTTCTCAGATACTCACTATATTAACTACCCTCAGCATGGATTTCTTCCGCGCCGTTTTCGTGCGTTACATGAACAACTGCTGGTGCTGGGACTTGGAGAAACAATTTCCGCAATACGGCGACTTCAAGATCGCCGAGAACATACTTCACTTGGTGTACAATCAAGGCATGGTTTGGATGGGCATGTTTTTCAGTCCCGGTTTGACAGCGCTAAACCTTCTCAAGCTCGGCATCTTGATGTACCTACGTTCCTGGGCGGTTCTCACATGCAACGTGCCGCACGAGGTGGTTTTCCGAGCCTCCAGGTCAGCTCGTAACGCATTATTTATTACACGCTTTTATGGCACACATGCACAATTTTAAATAAATTCTAAATAAATTATATTTTGGAAGATTTAAAATATCGCTATATTACATACGCGTTGCCCCCTCCCCTCCCCCTTTTTATCAATCGTCTTATGCATCTTTCTACACTTATCTAATTGCAGATCCAACAATTTCTACTTTGCGCTTCTACTGACCATGCTGTTTTTGTGCGTGTTGCCGGTCGGTTACGCAATAGTCTGGGTCGAGCCTTCGTGGCATTGCGGCCCATTTTCTGGTTATCCAAAGATTTATAATTTAGCGACACAGACCTTGATAAATTCGCTTCCACAAGTGATTCAACGGTGTGTCTCCGCACGCTTTGTCAAAGGCATTCAATTATTATTACTACATCATATAAGATATATACAGCGTAATCGATCACGAGAATTTTAATCCATCTTTGTTTATAGATGTCTCGACTACGTCGCGTCGCCTGGTATAATAATACCTCTGATTGTTTTGATGACGTTAATTATTTATTACATGGCGTCTCTCGCTGGATCTTTGCGAGAAGCGAATAACGACCTAAGGGTAACAATACTCATCAAAGAATATATTAAAATATATTATATGTTATATCGATAAGTTAAACTAAAATAATAAAAAATATGCTATTGTTTCAGATGCAACTGAGACATGAACGTACGGAACGAGCAATGTATATTTTGAAAATATTATAACATATGATATGGATTTTCAATTTAGCCGTTATGTACCGACAATTTTCTAGCCCATACGAAAAAAAAAATAGCTGCCGTAACTAAAAACTGCGTGTGGTAACTAGATCTTAGTTGTAATATATGGACAGCGAATATCTTAGCTATGTGATATCTATTTATTAGGTGCAATAGCAAACCGTTTTGCTGTAGTTCAGAAATTTATTTTATTTTGCAAATTATGATTAGCTATAATAGCGAAAAGCTTTTTCTGCGCGTACGATTTTTTGGGAAAGTTTAAGGAATTATTATAGTCTCTCAAATTGAGAGATTTTATAATTATTGATACCGATTAACAAAGAAAAAGTGTGCCAAGTGGATATAAAATGATAAATACAAATATAAATTACTTACCGTTGCTCCGTCCATCGCCTGATGCTTTTCCGAACTTCTTTTTCCTCTCCTGTTTCTTTGCTGTATCCACGTAGCACTTATACTCACTCGCGAAAACACGGTTAATAATGATTAGTCGAATACGTGATGATTGCGGGACACTGCACGGTTCTTCCAATCGCGGAACAATCGCATGCACAGTCGATCTTTGATAAAGATTTATCATCGTGATACAGTTTTGTGTCGTTCGTCAAAAGTTAATTGATCGTTAATTTTATAATAATTATAGCGGATTATGTTTCAATATTAGTCCCGATAGCGTTTAGAGGAAGAATTCGATACCATATGAAGCGTTTCACATCACTACTTCAGTATTCGAGTGTCGCTGTGCGAATGATAATAAAGCCGTAATATGTAAACAATAACGCGCTATACGTCGCCGTATACCTTGTGATTAATAATATGTTGCCGAAATATTTCATATCCTATGACGTATATATATACCCAAATATTAAATTATACAGGTATTTTAAATTATAGATTAATTATTCATTAATCGATAAATGTGTATCACGAACCCTTTCGTTTAATTAGGTCGTAAATTGTTCAAAATAGCTGAAAAGAGGCAGAATGTGGCCGACGTCCCGCTATCGAGATGGAAAAAGATTCTACCAGCGTTGCCGCAAGCTCGAACGGAATTATCTCGAAATTTAGAGATAACACGAAGGAACGATACGCAAGTCGCTATCGGGAACTCGAGCGATACGATGGAAGACAAAGGATTGACAAACAACGATGCCGAAGAGGATTCGTCGCGGCGCGAGCAGATATCGTCCAGCTGTAACAACGAGAAACGAACTCGAGGGGAGAATGATTCGGGATTAAATGGTACATCTTCCGGCAGAAGGTACATTTCTAAAATAATTGGAGAATTTATGAGCTTTCAAGATGAATCTCTCTTTGTACGAGTTTCAAATCAATAGAGACGACGCATTTAAAAATGTCAGAATTATAAATAATTTCCTTTAAGCAGGCCGATAAACTTGGTCGGACAATCTTGGGACTCGCAATCAAGCGAACAAAGTGTTATACCGGAAATTCAATTAAATGACGAGGAAAGAGCTCACGGATCCGTGAAGTTGAGTAAAAATATATTTAACTTTATAATATTTAATTCAAATTTAATTTAAATTATATTTAAAGTATATTTAAATAAATATTATTAATGAAATAATTATTGCTCATAAAGAGAGATAGCAACAAAACGATAATTTATTATTTCGGACTTGTCACTATTTTTCGTACTTGAATAAATGATATAAAATTTAAATAAAATTAAATAAATAAATTACGCGAAATACGCGCTTCAAAATTTATTGTCGCGATATAATTAATGTATGATCTAACATCTAACGTATGTAAAAGATAATTAATTATTAATTATATTAATCAATCAAATTGTTCTTCCATAGTTGGCGCGATCGCGTTTAGAAGAGGAATTTGATGGAACGTCTCGCATCACTATTCTGTTTTCGCAAATAAAAAATGTGAATAAACGCGAACTTTTTTTCACCGCCTTTAACAAAAATCTGATTGATTTTCAGAATCGTCGTTCCATTATTAGAGAATTGATGGAACGTCTCGCATCACTATTCTGTTTTCGAGTGTCGTCGCGTGAATGATGAAGTATTATAAGAAAGGAATTTGTGACGTAGCGTCTCCCATTATTACAATATTATTCACGTGTTGCCGCGCAAATGATAACAAGGTATAAGACATAAACAATAGAGCGCTAATGTTTACGCCGCCAAGGCCGATCACCTTGTTATTGATAATATGATATGTTCCCGAAATATTTCACGTCTTATAACATATATATATACGCGAAATATTATAAATTATATAAGTATTTTAAATTATAGATTAATTATTTATTAATCGATAGATGTGTATCACGAAACCTTTCGTTAAGTTAATTACTCGATCTTGCGATTCGATTATTTAATTGCACGTTCCCAATGTGAATCATATTTAGACTGTCGAAGAGTCGAACGATAAAGTACCAGATATTTAAAGGGTAAATTTTTTCGCAGTTCCGGCTTTTTATTTAGAGTTTTGGGTAGCATCCCATGATATATAAAAGAAATTCTTAACATTTTTACGCTCCAATCAATATTGCAAGAAATATCGCCGTTTTTCCTATGACATTTTGCGAAAACTTGACAGTATACCTATCATCGGGCGATCGTATAAACGTGAAAAAATTAATTGATGCTATTAATGTTTAAAACTCTTTTTAATTCAAAAGAACACGGTTAAAATTATAGGAAAACATAATAATTATAATAGAATAGACCTCCGCGTTTTGGAAATTGTTACAATTTTTCATATTATATCGTATAATATAAAGATATATTCAAGTATCGGGAGGAGTAGATTTTTTTCACGTTTCTTCTCCCACTATTACAGTACTATTCAAGTATCGCCGCGCGAATGATAACAAAACATAAAACATAAACAATAGAGCGCTAATGTTTACGCCGCCAAGACCAAACATATTGTTATTGATAGTAAGTTGCCGAAATATTTCACGTCCTATGATAAATATATATATGCGAATAATAAATTATATAAGTATTTTAAATTATAGATTAATTATTTATTAATCGACAAATATGTATCACGAAGTTTTTCATTAAGTTGGTTACTCGATCCTGCGATTCGATTATTTAACTGCGTGTTCCCAATGTGAATCATATTTAGATCCTCAGAGAGTCGAACGATAAAGTACCGGAAGAAATATATTTAACTTTATAATATTTAATTTAATTTAATTTAAATTTAAATTATTTACTTAAATGTTATTAAAGAAATAATAATTATTGCTCATAAAGAGACATAGCAACAAAACGATAATTTATTATTTCGGACTTGTCAGTACTTTTCGTACTTGAATAAATAAAATGAAATTTAAATAAAATTAAATAAATAAATTATGCGAAATACGCGCTTCGAAATTTATTGTCGCGATATAATTAATGTATGATTTAACTATAATAACTATGTAAAAGATAATTAATTATTAATAATATTAATCATATCAATCAAATTATTCCTCGATAGTTGGCGCGATCGCGTTTGGAAAAAAAATTTGACGGAGCGTCTCGCGTCACTACTTTTCTGTTCGAGTATCGTCGCGTGAATGATAAAGTATTGTAGGAAAGGAATTTGTGACGTAGCGTCTCCCACTATTACAATACTATTCACGTGTCGCTATGCATAAAAGAAACTGTTAACATTTTTATGCTCAAACCAATATTGCAAGAAATATCTCAATTTTTTAATCATTTTTATCTATTATCATTTATAAAAACTAAATGTCGCATTTTATTATATTCTATATAACACACATTTTATAATATTCTAATAATATGCCGTGAGCAGCTCTCATTAAGATATTCACTCTTAAAAGGCATGTTAAATTGATGCTCGCAAATATTGTTACCTTTTTTCCGCAAAGCTGATTGATTATCTCGTCGTTACACTGTGCATTACTTTCTATCAATAAAAGCCTATCATGACTGAGCAATGCATTTGGCAGTTCAAATATTAAATGCGTGTGTAATTTTTATTTAATTAATTTTGGAAAAACAGAGAACTAGAGTTCATATGTATAAGTAATTATTCACACACACACACAGAAAATGGCGCGCGCATAGCGTGCGCTTATATTGTTCTAGTGATATTTAAAAATCGCGATATTTCTTGCAATATTGGTTTAATATACATAAAAATAGCGTCTCCCACGAACATAAAAATGTTAACGGTTTCTTTTCTCGTGGAATGCTATCCAAAACTCTAAATAAAAAGTCAGAAATGCGAAAAAGTCTATCCCTTCCAATACTTGGATATATCTTTATATGTCATAAAAAAAATTGTGATTTCGGAAACGTGAAAGTTTATTCTATCATAATTATTATATTTTTCTATAGTTTTATCCTTGCTCTTTCGAATTCAAAGGAATTTTAATCATTAACAGCGTTAATTAATTCTTTGAGATTTATATGATCACTCGGTGATAGGTATGCTCAGGTTTTCGCAAAATGTCATACCAAAAATCGCGATATCTACTCACTCGCGAAAACACGATTAATTATGGTTAGTCGATATATATAGAATATATATCAGTATACACAGTACATGCGTCAGAATAGACACGCCACGCATAAAATTATAAATAGAATTCTGTCCCGAATTCTCTGTCACGAATTTATATAGATCAACTGAAGTGGATTTAATGCGACGTTATAATCATACGAACGTGTAAAGCATAAAATTAATATTATAATTAAAGAAATTATAATCTCGAAATTAAAGATTAAAATAACGACAGAGAATATCTAAATGGTTTCTAAGAGATTCTTGATCATGAAATTAAAAGCTGAAAGAATTTTTGATTTAATTAGACCAAGTTATCATCGATAATTATACTTAGACAGATCGGTCTCTTATATTACTTTGATTTATAAGAATGCGCTACTTATCGCGTCTCTCGAAATTAATCAAGAAAAAACCAAATGAATCGTTGATGAAATCGCAACGTGCAGCCGGAGAAGTTCGTCTCACGAACGACTGTTTCTGTCCCGAGATGATAATATTTATTTATTTAATTTATTTAATATTTATAATATCGCGAAACGATATCCTTTGTTTCGATTCGCTGAATGATGACGTCCTTTTTCCCGACATTTCGCAAAATCAAGTTTCACCGCGCCAAGTATCAGCTCTAGACTTGACTCGGTCGGGGACCGAGTCTCAGCCGAAGATCGGCGAGCAGCTCGTCGGCTCGACTTGCCCCTCTACGAGGAGAACAGCTCGCTATCTACCTACGTATATCGCTAGCTTTCCCAGTTTAGGCCGGTTCAGACGAAGTGCGGAGCCCGGTGCGGTCGCGTTGCGTTCCACCGCTATCTCGCGTATCAGTCTACGCGAGTTGCCCGGCTCGTGAAGGTTGACGAGAGACCGACCGATCGGGGCCCCTCTGCCTACACGGCACTTCTACCTACCTGTCTACCTGTCGACTAAAGAACAATCGATAAGGATCGTCGCGATGAGTGTACGCGGCAAGCAAGTGCAAAATGGTATCTACGAGTTCGATTACATGCGAGTACCTGATACCAGAACACGCTGGAAGGTATTTCGCGACGGTATCTACAATCCTGAAGAAGGGACGTACTGCGGTCACCCGCCGAAGAAATGGGGTGAGTCATTTTTGTATTTCGGAGTACCTTGATAATGGATACTCGAACGCTTAGACTAGAATGAGTTTTAATCGACCATCGAAAAAGGAACTTCAAAATGCTGTTCTCCTTTCTTAGCTAGCTTTATTCTATTCGATGTGTTAATATTAATATTAATATTGCATAGAGGGGGAGAGAAGAAAATGTGAGATTTTTAAACAATTTTTTGTGTAACTCTTGACAATTATATTTTTAGTAATGATCTAATATCTGTTTTCTTCGCTGCTCCAATATTTGCACTCTCAATTAATTGTTTTACACAAAATGATAAAATTTTTTAAAACTTTGAAATTTGGATTGTTATTATTGATACGTAGGGCTGTTTATCTTGAAAATGATATTAATATCAAAATCTTATTAAAATGGATATGTTACAAAATAGATGCGAGAAACAAATAGTCTATATCTAAAAACGGCAAGAGTGATTCTTTACCATATGACCGTATAACATTATTATTAAATTTTATTTTACGCAAATACAATTTATATTATAATACACTATTTTCATATAAAATTTAGAATGGAATTTATTCTCTATTAGTGATACTCCATTAGTGACTTCTTTTCTTCTTGCGTAACTATATGCAATTAATGTTATTAGTTTACATTCCCGTGTCAAAATTCGAGAATTTCTAAAACTTAAAATATTTTAATATCGATAAAAAAAATTCTGTTGATGAGCAACCAGATTTAAATTTAAAATTGAAGCGCTAATATATACACATTTATTATTTAAACTGAATACTTGTGAAAATTATATGTTTCGTTTCTCGGAGAGAATACAAAAAGTTCTTTATAAAAGACAAACAAATTAAATATGAGAAAGATGATGATGATTACATATCGTGTTGCCTGCTCCAAGTTATTAAAAGCACTGCTCTTTGTTTCTCCATTATAAGAAAAATATTTTTCAAATTTTTAAATTTATGTATCTCTCTCAGAAGGTACAGTAATTTAATCAAGAATGTAACGGTGCTTTTAATAATTATACATAATGCCAAGACAAGTTTAGTTTAGTAAGATTACCATAGATATTGAAAATAAAATTAATATTATTAATCCTATTATATCTCGCGAAGTACAAGTTATTAATATATGAGAATCTTATTTCGCTTTTTTATATTCAATCGCGCAAAGTAATTTTCCTCCTCCTAAATTGGTATTTTTAAAATATTTACGATGCTGATGATTTTGATTAAATGTACACACGCACACGCTCACGCACAACTATTTCGTAAACCGCGTTCTTGTTATTGAGTTTCTCATTTCCTTGACATGAAAACCGCGAGTAATGTCAATGCGAGACAAGTTTTTTCGCATTAAAAGTGTATGGATAAAGAATATAGATCTGATATGTTTAACATAAATATGACTGATTATTAGAAAAAATACTAAAAATAATTTATCATATACATAAAAGCGCGCGTATTCGTGTTTAAAATATTTATATGTATTCATCTGTATAGTCTCTTAATGAATTATTCAGATATAAAATTATTCGCGAATAAAAGTTTCTAAAACTTATTAAATTTCTTGATCAAAATTTATTATAGATATCGTTTCTTTCACTTAAATTTCTAATATGTTTAGAAATCCCCTCGATGCTCGAAAGCAATATAAGATCGAGAAAAATAGAACATCAGGAATAATGAACATATTATCATATCGCGTTATCGTTATCACGAGAAACTAGATTTCAGAACGAGTGATCGAGAAATGTTCCCATTTGTTTTTTACCAAGAATGTAATATCTTGAATTGATTTAGAGAGAAAAAGGGAGAAAAAAGAAGAGAAAGTTCAGACATAATCAATATTCTTATCATATTCCGATTAAAAATAAATACGACGCTTAATGATTAATCCGACAGTTTGACGAACGATCGATAATTAATTTTATCAATATTGACTGGTTGCATATAATCGACTTTTATTCGATAAACATAATGAATTAAAGGGTTATTAAGTGGAATAGTCCAACATTGGTTGATGTGCACGTGTCGAGAGAGGATGTCTTACGTAGACTTCTTGGCGACTGTTTAGAAGCAGCCGACCCTGAGCCTCGTGTTTTGGCAGCGGCTGACTCGAGAGAGAGAGAGAGAGAGAGCGAGAGAGAGAAAGAGAGAGAGCACCGGAAATAAGTATCGGTGATGGTAATAGTAACACAGCGAAGGGAGTACTTCTGGGACCGTCTCTTGACGCGTTCGCCTTTCCTCCAAATCTTCGAGACTGGATCGTCAATAGCGCTATTATAAGGGAATGAGGACATGTGCGAGCGCACCAATACACACGCACGCTAGCAGATGTCGAGGGATATCGTATTTTTCTTGCTTTTTTTTTTATACGAGTAAAAAATATTTCATAATAATTTATTATGTCAACTTTCAACTGCGCGAAGCAATCTTCACATAAGAAGAACGTGTAAGGAAATTTGTTTATTCGAAAACGCACGCAGAGCCCCCGTTTGAACGTATATCTGCTAACTTATCTTGTGTTTTGCCGAGAGACAAGACCTTTCCTATTAATAATATCATCGGTTTTTCTTATGTTCTCTTTAATAATGTTACACGCGTCGATAAGTCCCGTATAATACTACGAAATATGAATTGTAAGAAATATTAATATTGAGAAATATTAATTGTAAGCGTTTTGAATTCGCGCATCTCACGATTTATCCCCAGATCCACCGTCCTTTTAATATCCTTGTAAAGTCTTTCTGTGCTTCACTGTCGAAGATATAATTAATCGAAAAATTTGTCTTTCAATCTTCCTCTATTTCAATTTTTGACACGAAAACATATGTGCAATCTCATCCATCGTATTCTGGGTTTCTTGTTTATTGCTTCTCGTTTCCCAAATTGTATTTACTGTTGAAAGAAAAGCTCTTTGCGTAATAAACATAAGATTTGATTAATAAACAAAAAGTTGATAAGAGACGAATTATTAAATCAAAATTATTCGAGATATAGGTAATTAGTTGTATGTGACTTTATACCGATAAATGACACTTGGCTATAAAATAATATTTGACGAATATTAGCATGGTTTAGAGATGTTAACCGATCATTCTCGTTAGGGCAACATTTCAAATGTGAAAACGTTATTGCAAACATGCCAATTGCTAAAAATAATGTGTCCAAAGGCGTCCGGATGAATCTGAGTGAATTGCTTTCGAGAGTATGCTAATGAATTATGGATCAGCATTTTCTTTTAGAAGATATAAGTCAACGTATAATAAGATTTGATATATTATCTTTGAAAAATGTTATGTCTTATAATAATATATTTTGCTCCAGTTTAACTACTGAAAGCTTTTATCTTAATCAGATTTTTTATCAAATAGATACCGTCTCATTTAATACTTAATATATAAAATATTAAGTATTAAATTTTATTAAATCATATATTAATTATAATAATATTAAATATAATAATATTGAATCATAGTTAATATGATGTAATAAATGCATACCGTAATTTTTTTGCATTATAAACGTCTCGAATTGATTCACTATGATCTTTTGATTATTTCGCTCGAAGAAGAAATCGGTGATGTCACTTTAAAACAAATTATGGCCTCGAAAATCTTGTAATTCTCGAGCATCTAATATCGATTCCAAACATGTTTTCTTTGGCAATGTTACGCAATGGGATATATAAGGTCGGTGAAATCGCGAATATAAACGCGCTTTGGATCGAAGAAACATCGACCGCAATACATTTTGTAAAACGATCAAGCCGAAAAAAGCCCACAATGTTATTCACGTTCCATTGTTTATCCGCACGTTGAATTGATTTAGAACGTAATACTCATAATAATGCTGATTAAATGCGACTCGTGTGTTGCATGCTTAATTAATCTCATCAGTAGAAATCGAATCTTTTTAAGGAAAAGCATAAACTTTTTTGTGAATAATTTTATGAAAAATTGAATAGCATTTTTTAATTCTATCAAACTATTTTTTTTATATTTAGACATGATATATTGGAATATTGTTTTACATAAAATTTCGTTACCATAATTGTAATATTCTTCGAGATATCGAATTTTATATTGTTTATAAATCGCATTTAAAATATGTAAATGATGTAAGGTAAGAAACTCAACAACTAATCGTTTTAAAATATATTTTAGAATTTGACGAGTTATTAAGAAATGCAAGTATTTCTTTCTCTGTATAAAAAAAAAAGAAATTAATTGTTATATATCCAAAAACAGGAATCTTTCGCGAAGAAGTGGCACAAAAGATTTTAATTTTTTGAAACAAAAAAAGACAGTTGTAAAGATATAAAATAACAATATAATAACGTCTATGATTTACATTACAATACATAACGGCGTCGTCAATGTCAGCAACGTCAGGAAAATGTCATTTTCCACGACACGCGATAAGATACCTCTGACAAGGTAATTCGAACGTCTTATCGCGAATATCATCTTTTTTTTTTCATCTGACGTCACCGCGCATACGATATTAAATTTATTCTTTTTCTTCTTCTAGGAAAGCCAGTTGCGAGCGGTTTTAGTTCACGAGAGATACACGTGTTTTTTTATACACGACTGAATACGTAACCAGCCGGCCCCGTATTATCGATAACTATCGACATCCGTTTATTATTTAGTATACGAGTTTTTAATATTCCATTTTTGCAAAGCAAGATATCTTTCACCGTTTCGGGATCTTTCACGATTCGCTGAATAAATTAATTTCGATACGAATATATAATGTGTCAAGCTCTTCCAATCGCTTTCCCCCTTTCTGATTATCCGATCCTTTATTTGCCACATAAAATATGAATTAACACGCGCGCGAGAACGAAGGGATCAATGTCCGGCAACAGGTGTTTCGTGACAAACGAGCCTTTCTTCTCGCTTGTATCTAAAACTTTACGATGCTCCATTGACGATTGCGAAATTGTTGACCAACATCTTGAGACGGGGATTGGAAAGTTATCGAGCATAAAAAATAGAGATTTACTTTTCCTTTTTAATGTAAAAAATATATAGAGTATATTGATCCATATAATAATTAACTAATTGAATAGCAATTCATACTTAAATAAGTATCTTAGTTACGTGACATAATTACGTTGACATAAATCAAATCATTGATGCAATATATGATTTTTATAAATATTTGTATCTACACATAATTGATTTCTACGTAAATTTTTTTTTTTTTTGCAAGTTTACGTGACGCGCATACGCGACAAACTGTGAATTACTTGCTTCTCGGCTTGCAGTCATAACGTTCCGCGTGCGAATTTTCACGCTAATCAAATCAATTCTCACGCGGCTTCGGTGTCGCTAAATTCCCGTGCAACCAATGAAGACTAAACGAAGCTTTTGTCAAAGAGATACAAAAAAAAAGAAATAACGTTTCGCTGAAATAATTTGACGCTTGATGCGATGGAAACCGTGGCGTGACATAATAAATCGCCGTGAAGTCGGTGTAGCGGGATAGAGTTAAAAAGAAAAATAAAGAAAAAGAAACGTCTCTAGATTCCAAGAGCGATGCATTTGCGTGTGGAAATATTTCTTATTTCTTGAAGACTTCGTACTCGGTCTGTCTCAACAAGAGGAATAATTTAAACCGCAGTCTTTCATTTTCCCGATGTTTCTTACCATCGATAATCGTTGAACTTGAATCTTTTATTGCGTACCGCAGACGCAATAAAACCTGTACACAAAACAAGATTAAGCATATGTAGAATCTCTGAAGAGTTATATTAGATTTCAATTTCATGGCGTAAAACGTGAAATTTAAGGTTTCTATTCTTTTTGATTGCAATTTTATTGAATTAAGATGTCATAAAGAAATCATATGTGCATTTTTTCGACACATTAATAAAATACTATTTTTACACTGAATTTTTTTTCCAACAAATTCCGAAATAATAATCGAAAATTCTATTTTCTATATTTTTTAAAAATATTTTTTTACGTACAATATTATATCAAATGTTATTAGCTTTTGCTCTACATTTTCAGCGAGACAATTGATCAAGATTTACAGCCATATTAATTGACGAAATGAGAGAGTTTTTGACATGTCTTACTAATTCGTTAACAAACTTGCGGTATATATATATATAATATATAAATCTGCTTCAACGTATAATGCGTGAAAATAATTTATACGATTTTCTGCTGACGATATTCACAAGTATAAAAAAAACAGGAACGAAGAGAGACTTCCTTCCTTTTTTTTTGATTGTTAAGACAAGAATGTCATTTACTCAGCTTGCGATTCCAATATCAGCTGACTCTTTCGAGGCGCACCGATGTCTGCCGCGTGATTTCCTGGTTCTCGCGAATCATCGCGAGAACGAGAATGCTATTCGTTGTCGTCGTCGGAGTAGATCAATAATAAACGGGTATAGTGATAAAGCTCTGGCGGATCATATGCGTATTATCAGCGCATGTAAATTTGTCTGTGGCTTCTCGACATTATCGCGCCAGACTCGAGTGTTGTACTGTGTGTTACAAGATATTTTCCTGATATCACATACCAGGAATTGTCTCATTATCCGCCGAACGTTTGAGAGCAATATTCTTGGTGATAGTAGAGTGTCTGCGTACAACATCGTGATGAATAGAAGGTCCACATTCACTTCGCGCGTGTTTAAAACCGGTCCATTTTACAGAATCGGCGAGGGAAAAGAATGAAGGTCATCGTTTACCACATGTTACGCTAACAGGAAGAAAAGATTATCTTATTTATATAGGTCTCGAGATAGGTTTGCGTTTAATCCTTTAAAACCCCGTCTTTTTTTTTTATTTAATAAACATTATTTATTCTTAATTAAAAAGCATTTTTTTCATAATTAATTTAGCTTTATTTACAGCTCGTAAATTCATCTAAAAAAAAAACGCTTCAAAAAATCAAAAAATAAGTAAGAATAAGTAACTTTAAAACTTTACAAGAGTCAAGGCGAAAGGCTTAAAAATCTTGTTTTCGAAGATTTTATCTTCGAGAACAACGGGTTCTAAAAATCGATCTGATAAATATTTCATTCAAGATTTGCCGCATATCATAATTTTGATATCGTGCAAATGATATCTCTTTCTCTTAACATGTTATACAAAAAAATATTTGATTGTACTTCATATAGTTGGAAATACTTATCGAGGAATCAATAGTTAAAAACTTTTAAATTATACGCTAATAAAGTAAGTTAATAGAAAACTATAACAATTGAGAAAACGAAGAAGAAATATGGCTCTTGTATCTTTATTGCAGCAATATTCGATTCTGACGTCATTTTAAAGCATCTTATATATCACTTTTATCGCTATCCTCTAATGAATAAAAGATAAGCGACCGATAGGTTAATTTAGCTTTAGAGATATGTTTTATATTCAATAAAACTGTTCGATTATTACGTAATTTAATCATTAAGTCGCCATCGCTTTGACGTATTATACCGCTTGTTCATAAAGCGGATGAGAATAATTACGCGATATGAAAGAGAGAGAAGTTATCACGAACGATTCAAAAGAAATCTAAGCTAAAGCGCTTAATATTGACACTTCAAAGGAGATATGATAAGAAGGGAGCCAGATAACCGTCTGCTTGTGAAAGCTGCTCCAATTTCGCAGTCATAATGACAAATACCGCGCCTAATCATGTAAATATTACATAAATATTACAGGAGCATTCTTTTAGTTCCCCTCTCTCGGAGAGGCTTACAAATAATTTGTATAATTTATTAATTTGATTGTAGAGCCATCAGAGACAAAAGAAGAATATTAGCATTAGACGGCTTTTCATTCACTTCCTGAATGTTGCTCTCAAGGCTCATATTTTTGACGTGGGATTTTGCAAATCGTTAATAACAAGTGCGAATATTTACAGCATCTTGCGCCAAATGTTGTACAAATGTTTTTGGTTACTCCTATTATTACTGCCGTTACTACTCGTGACGAGGGAGTTATTATGGATTGCGTGGCTTCGACTATTTTAATCGCTTATCCGATCATCTCCGAATACGTAATCGAACGAAACCAATGTGTCCGTATGTAAATATCTTTGTTCAGCCTCTAGCTTTACGCTGGATAGATAATTGGGAAGTTTACACGAGCGATAAGATTCTTATTATGCGCATATTAAAACTCTTCGCAGATGATATTTATTCAGCGAACTTATATGATTTAAAAAGGCGGGTGCATTTGACTGAAATATCATTTTTATTTAAATTTTTTATTTAAAAAAAGTGAATAATTTTTTGAATATTTTCAACTACATAAAATAATTTTTGAATGTGTTTTAAGTATCTCCACAAAATGTTGAATGTGTAAGAATGCCATCAAAATCTTTAAAACGTTCATCTGTAAAATCAGGTTTCTCGATCTTTATATATATCTTTCTTGGAAATTACTGGTCCAATTATTATCAATTGTTTTTAATAAGAAATAAATTATGATTTGATCGTTCAGTGTTTGTAAAGAAATTGTAATTTTATCAAAAGCTACAATCAAAGTCGCCAAAAAAGTTGATTTTATTTAAATTATAATTAACATTCAAATAAAGCTCACTCAGCGAAAAGCATCGATTAAAATGTAATTAAACATATAAGGAAAAAAGTGAAAAAAGAAATGTTAATTCAATACTGAAAAAAAGAAACATAAAAGCAGATATTTTTGCCATATCATTTCGCAATTGCATCCGCGATTTTCTTAAACAGATTTTTAAAAATATATATTTTTTTTAAATAAAAAAACATACATACATACTAATTAACTATCTAATATTAAATAATGAATAAACGTTTACATGAATACGAGATATTCAATATCATTTCGCAATTGCATCCGCGATTTTCTTAAACAGATTTTTAAAAATATATATTTTTTTTTAAATAAAAAAACATACATGCATACTAATTAACTATCTAATATTAAATAATGAATAAACGTCTACATGAATACGAGATATTCCAGCGTTGAAGTGTCCAAATCTCCACAAAGATCCCAATCTTCGAGATTAATGTTCGCATTTTTTGTCCCCCAAGTTAATAACAACGTGGCACGGCAGTTGGCCGCCCATCTTCTTGCGACTCTCGATGCTTTTGAAAAAGAATCTATATTTAGATCGCGCGTTGGCAGAGCGCCCTATGCTTTAAATATTTTCCGTTCGATCGACGAAACGATGAAAGTTTTCGCGGTTGCATAAGTGGACCAAAGTGGACTGGCGATGCCGATCAACGTCGAATAGCAGGTTTAAAAGAAAACAGAAATGTCAGAAAAGATGGTACTCCGCGAACTCTTTATGCGTGGCTCTCCGACGCACGCCTTGAATATTTGGATCACACAACGGCGCGAAAAATGCGTCAATGGCAAAAGTATAAATAGCGCGATAAAGAGAGAACTCTTCTCCTTCTTCCCCTCTCTACCTCTTCCTCATAAAATCGCGAAGAATTTCGTTAAAGGAGATAGAGAGCCCTACGCATCTTGTCTAAAAAAAATATTGTTGAACTTCCCAGAAATTTATTATCGATTTATTTATTTCGATTTATATTTTACAAACTTTTGGACGAGGAAAAATATAAGCATATAATTTAGAATGTTTCTTTACAATATATATGCAGGATACAAGAAGGAGATTGACGACCTTTTACCGGGCTTTTTTTCTCTTCTTCTTCAGGCATGACTGTTATCTTCTACGCTTGCTTCTACGCCGGACTGGCGATACTCTTCACCATTTGCATGAAAGGCATGCTCGCCACGTTGAGCGAGGAGAAACCTAAATGGACCCTAAGCAGCAGTTTAATAGGCACCAATCCAGGTAGGATTTTGACCTATACGAAAGTATATCCGATTTAATCACGCATAAAAAACGTTATATGATGAAACAATCTGGTGTGTCATAGTTTTGATATTATTTTTCTAAAGACACGTATTTTCAAAGAATTATTTTTTCTTTTCTTGCTGCGATGGATAGAATATTATTTTTCGAGACTTTAGGCATTGACGCAAGGTGAGTAAATATGTGAATATATTTACTGCATAAGTATATACATTTGTCGAAAACTATCAGATATTTTTTTAGAATAACACAACGTACAAGTAAACGTTAAACTGTACATCTTTCCAAATAAAGCTTTTATGTTATAGAATGAAGTCACATCTTATCGCAACTCTTTATGAGAAAATTTGCATACGATTGCGTCGCACGTTACGTAAATGTGTCACAAGCTTAAACTATATGAATGAAAAAAATGAATATAAACTTGTAATATAAATAATAAATAAATAACTAATAATTAATACCTAAGTTAAGAATCAACGATAAAAGTAGTTGGTTTTTTTGTGATTAAAGTTGCATAATCTTCGGTTGAATTCTGTCACGAAAATAAAGATCATTTATTCATCCAATTTTTTCTCGATGTTATTCACAAAAGAAAATTATTAATAATAATTAATAATTAATAATTAATAATCAATAATTAATAATCAATAATTAATAATCAATAATTAATAATCAATAATTAATAATCAATAATTAATAATCAATAATTAATAATCAATAATTAATAATCAATAATTAATAATCAATAATTAATAATCAATAATTAATAATCAATAATTAATAATCAATAATTAATTATAAATAATAATATAATTTATAATTATTATAATTTATATGCACAAAACCAATGAGAGTTTGTTTTTAACTTGTTGGAATTTTTCGATTGCATTTCGTTTACAATCACTAGGTTTGGGCTTTCGACCGATTTCGGACAACGCGGATGAGAGATCGCTCATTTGGTACAGCGCGTCGAATGCGACCGAAGTACAAAAGTGGACACGACTCCTAGACAATTTTTTGGAACGTGAGTAATGAATCACGCATTTATCATCCATACGAACGCTGCGATTAACTCTTTGATAAGTCTCACTAACACAGATAACGCGCGAAAATGAATCATCGGCCACCGGTGAGAAAGAGAATAATACTAACATGTGCACACTGTCAAAAGAAAAGTCATCTCCACCATAGCGGATGCACAGCATCCGCGTGTCTTTGATGCCGTTAAATCTAAGGATAAAATTCCCAAATTCAAGATTCGCTCTTATACCCAAATAACAAGCGCACGTGATTTTGACGTCAAATGAAATGCATTTGTTACCTGGGTAGTTTAAATAATTTCTTCGCACTCAAAATAATTTAATTATAATCTGATTCATGGCTCTGTTCGTTTTCGATAGATTATATCGATTCGTCGCTTTTGCCGAACGGCGGTAGAAATCAGCAGATCTGCAATTACACTATGCCGGCGAAGGATGGTAATGTATGCGCGGTCGACGTCAACAATTGGGGACCGTGTTCGCCGAATCAGCAATACGGTTTCAACAACTCGGCACCTTGCATCTTTATCAAGCTTAACAGGGTAAGAACATCGATACAAATTTTTGCGTAAAATGCATCCATTTATTTCAATTTAAAAAAATATTTTTTGAATCACTGTAAGTTTCCAGAAGCATATATCAATATCTCTCGCCAATCGAATATCTCGAGACAATTACAGATGTGGTTACTTAAAATTTTGCGCCTATTTTTTTTATTTATTAAATGACACATTTAAAAGAATATTTAAAATATTTAAATGAATATTTAAAAGAAAATATTATTAGAGAAAAGTTTATCAAAATTTGTTGCGGTTTGTTTTGCGATATTTTATATGAAAACTTTATCATGCGCGTATGTATTGTTTATGTGTTGATAGCTATAGCATTGCATGAAAACATTTAATATTAACCTTTTATTTCTATTGTTTAATTTGGATCGTAGGACTGTTTAAAAAATTTTTTAAAACGTTATTTTTCAGATATACGGATGGGTTCCTGAGTACTACAACGACACGCAAAATTTGCCGGCCGAAATGCCAGACGAGTTAGTCAAGTATATACGCGGTGCCGATGCTTCATGGGTTAGTTAGTCGGTCAGTCAGTTATATCAGTCGATAAAAATTTAAAAAAAGAATCTGGATTTGAACAAAATTTGGAAAGAAACTTCATCATTTAAATTTGCCACGCATGATACTCGATCATTAATTTAATACCGGACTTGCGAGACTTAAAAATTCAGAATTATAAACAGGGAAGAAGAATTTTGTATTTAAAATTATTTGTTATTTAATTTTAACAGAGAATATTTAGCTGAGTGGAATATTCAATAAAAAGCGACATCATTATCACACATTTTTATCATTATACCATAGTATCCGTTTATCTGTTTATTTTATCCAAACACGGATAAGAATTGTAAACGATGCGTTTCTATTTACGTGACTTTACGTCAAGAAATGATTTGATTTGTGAATAAAATTAGAGATTATGAAGATCATTATTACCTTCCATTCGATCTTGTTGCTGATGATAATAGTCTAATATTGCGCGATATAATAGCAACTCATTTTTGAAATATTATACATTTATTCATTTTTGAAATATTATACGTACAATATTATACCAAAAATATTAACAGCATGTTTTAAATGCTGTAAATCAGCAGAAACTCATGGGAGTACAAGGATTTATATAATAAACTGTCTTCTGGTATACAAAATATAATGGAAATAAAAGAATATTAATATAATGGAAATAAAAGAATACTAATTTAAAACAAAATTCAAGTTTGGCAGAAAATTCCAAAAAAAGTATCCAGTAATATATTTAAAAAATTGCTGCTAAAAATAATTGCGTGTACCACATTTCTTACTTGTCGCGCTTAAAATTGAGAGAAAAAATTTAGAAATTGAGACGCGAAAAGTTTAATTACCCTTTTATTTTAGCATTTTGTGTAAAAGATCAATCTCTCTCACATAATATAGAGTTTATGTTTCTTTTATATTGCAGTTAAATACCGTATGGGTATCCTGCCGTGGTGATAATCCTCATGACAGAGAGAGTATCGGTCCATTAAATTATTTTCCTAAGGGACATGGCTTTCCAGGATTCTATTATCCATACAAGAATACAGCCGGATACTTAAGCCCAGTCGTCGCTGTTCAGTTTCTTCGACCAACAAGTAAGTTAACATCAATGTCAAATTTTACAAATTTTATTTTAAAGAAATGATAAGAATGAAAAATAAAAATATTTACATTTACAGAAGACAAAACAAAAATATAAGAACTTTCAAATCACACTTTTAAAAAAAATTTTCTCCCAGATCATAAATAATACATTTTATAAAGTATTCTTTATATTATAAAATAAATTAATAATAGTTTATGTTTCTTTTATATTGCAGTTAAATACCGTATGGGTATCCTGCCGTGGTGATAATCCTCATGACAGAGAGAGTATCGGTCCATTAAATTATTTTCCTAAGGGACATGGCTTTCCAGGATTCTATTATCCATACAAGAATACAGCCGGATACTTAAGCCCAGTCGTCGCTGTTCAGTTTCTTCGACCAACAAGTAAGTTAACATCAATGTCAAATTTTACAAATTTTATTTTAAAGAAATGATAAGAATGAAAAATAAAAATATTTACATTTACAGAAGACAAAACAAAAATATAAGAACTTTCAAATCACACTTTTTAAAAAAATTTTCTCCCAGATCATAAATAATACATTTTATAAAGTATTCTTTATATTATAAAATAAATTAATAATTTTATCTCCCTCTCTCTTTCTCTCCTCAGAAAGTAACTAAATGATTGAACTAACTGCAATGATTTCTTTTTTACCACATTGTCCGTAGCGTTAAATTAATCTTTGAAAACTTCAAACCACGATTCGTGTTTTCGGAATCTTTCGTGTTTTTTTCTGATATCTGACATATATGCAACGTGCAAATATATCGATACGAACTTTTTTATTGAATCCATCATTCGCCATCCACTATCATTGACCGGTTCGTATACGACTCGTACGTAAATGACGCTCTCCAGATGAAACCGGTAAAAGCCGGTATGTTGCAGCACGGTATTTGTCGTCGAAAGGTGTCGTCGACCAGCACATACTCGTTCAAAGTTGCATTCACGATTTAATTTAACCAATCCTATATTTTAATAATCTTTCGTGAATCTTATATCTTTTTCAGATATCTGTGAAACAAAATAAATCATGTAAAAGATATAATAATAATATGTTACACTTTTTTTATATGCTATCCATGTATACAAATTATGTTGCAGCGTGTTTGTGTAAAGATAATTAATTTCATTGTAATCTTTATAATCTTTATTATGAAGTAATAGAGTATTAGATATTATATCATGATTTAATAACTTATTAAAATTATATTAGTTGTAAAAAAAATGTTGAAATCGTGTAGCGAAAAACTTGATAAACATCTGTACATCAATGTAATGTGTAATGTATCTCTCGTGTACCGATTTTTAAATATTAATAATTTTTTATTAGCTTTAAATATATCTATTATTTCTTTGTACTTATTTTATAAAATTTCGATAATTGCAGAGATTATTTCGTTACTTATGCTTCCTCTTATCCTGTAATTCAGCATATTAAGACTCTAAAATATTTCTATATTAATAAGAAATATCTAAATCAATGAAGAAAAAAGAATTTGCTCATTTTAAATACATTTAAAAATGATAAAATTATCTAAACTGACTTGTTTTTACAGGGAACCAAATCATCAACGTCGAGTGTCGGGCATGGGCAAAGAACATCAAGTACACATCGGTTGGTGGCGAAAAGAAGGGTGCGATACACTTTGAACTGATGGTCGACGAATGATCGCACGTCGCGATCATCGAGATCGTTATATCATTCTTGGCACGCCGTTATCTCATATAGCGTTACTGCGTGATTAGGAAATTTTTTCGAGATACATAAAACAGAGGAATCCGAAGGCGTGTCGAAGAGCATCACGACACTGGATTCCCGATCACGATAACGGCCGATTACTTCAACTAGAAGAACATTAATAAGTCAATAAAAGATCTGTTCTTTCGTAGCGTGCGTTAAAAAGGAAAGTGTGCGATAAGTACAGCTACAGAGAACAAACTTAAATTTGTTATTTTTCTGAAGATATTGTAGATATAATTAATCAATCGGGATTCAAATTTATTCAGTTTTAATCTTAATAGAATAATCTTAATTGAATTGTTCTGACAAAAAAGAAGAGTTGTCTCTTGTTGTAATTTACAGATATGTGTACATAAAGAGTAATTATGAGAGATATATAGAATATATGTCCGATTTTTGCTCAGCAAAAATATCTAAAATTTCTAACTCTTATGAAATACTTGAAAACTTAGAAAAGAGTTTCATAATTGGAAATATATAATTCAAAAATATTCATTGCTACCAAATATAAAAGTTGAAAAATAAAAAAAATTTTTAAAAGCAATTCTTAAAGTTTATATTATGTAGAAAGATTGCTAGAAATTTAAGATTCTATCAAGAAACTAAAAGTTTTCAAGGCTTTTATAATTTTATTTTATATTTAAATATATATACATATATATTTAAGAAACGTTAAAAATTAAGTATATAGGAGAGCACAAAGAATATAAATATCAGAATCTGCAAAAATCATAATAGCTCGCAAAAAAAGTAAATTATATAACATTTTCATTTTTTATATTTGCCTAAGAAATAGCTACATCTCAAAATCTGCATATAAAATTTAAATTTTAATAACGGATTAAGATAAATATATTTAAAAATTTATCATTCAAGTTACAATCGTAAAAAGATGAATATATCAAAAAACTCAGGTTTGTGCTGATCTAAGTATTTTACGTGAAATAAATTGGTAACAAAATCTTTAAAAAAAAAAAAATAAAAACTCTCTGAAGACCATTTAAAAAATATAAATAAAGATATAACTAATTCTCCTATACATTAAATTTAAGTGTCGCGTTTTTGAAGATACTAAACGCAATTTAAATTATACAATTATTTTCGGAATATTCTGTACATCTCTTATTCTCCTATTGTTTTGTCAAATTATTTATATATGTATCTCCAGCATAGTTGAACAAAGTATGTACGCTCGAATCGTGAATGTATATTGAACGAATAATTCATTTAAACAAAATATCGTGGTACTTATTAAGATATAGGTGTAATTGTACAAAATGAATAATATATCGCGATTTACATAGTAATATTTTTTTTTAATAAATGACAATCGTGAAAAATAACCCATACAAGTACAAACTGTTTTTTTTTTCTTAACAAAAGCGAGCATCGTATAATTCTTAATTTAATCGTTGCGATTATGTATAATTGTGTCAATTTATTCTCCCACTTCTTGGCTCCTTTCTCTCTCTGTCTCTTCCTCTTTTTTTTCTTTATCTTAAATAAATTTATTTAAATTCTAGATATATATATCTAAGCAATAATCTATTAAGGATATTAGGTACATACATTTATTGTTCTATATTCCTGTGTATCTTTCTGGTTGTGGAACTCTTTGCACAAAGAATTTGGAGAATACGTCAGTGCGCCACAGTATGAAAAATTGTTCTTTTTCACGTTTTTTTAGATTTAATGTTTCCAGATTCTTTAACATTAGTATTGACACAGGTTTGCTTTTATCTATACTAGAACATTAAAAGCGCGCGCCATGTGCGCGCCATTTATTTTGTGTGTGTATAATTACTTACATATTAACACTAGTTCTTCGTTTTCTTCAAAATCAATTAAATAAAAATTATACACGCACTTAGTATTTGAACTGTCAAATGCGTCGCTCAGTCATGACAGGCTTTTATTGATAGAAAGTAATGCACAGTGTAACGTCGAGATAACTAATCAGCATCGCGGAAAAAATGTAACAATACTTGCAAGCATCGATTTAATATGCCTTTTAAGAGTAGATATCTCGATGAGAGCTGCTCACGGCATATTATTAGAATATTATAAAATGTATGTTATATAAAATATAATAAAATGCGCCTCTTAGTTTTTATAAATGATAATAGATAAAAATGATTAAAAAATTGAGATATTTCTTGCAATATTGGTTTGAGCATAAAAATGTTAATAGTTTTTTTTATATCTCATGAGATGCTACCCAGAACTCTAAATAAAAAGCCGAAACTGCGAAAAAATTTACCCTTTAAATATTTAAAATTAATTTAAAATATATTTATATAATTTAATATTTTGTATATAAATATACACATGTATACATATATATGTCACAGTACGTAAAATATTTCGGCAACGAATTAGGAATAACATGGTAGTCAGCCTTGGCGGCATAAACATTAGCGCGCTATTGTTTACATGTTACAGCCTTGTTATCATTTGCGTAGCGACACGTGAATAGTATTGTAATAGTGGGAGATGCTACGTCACAAATTCCTTTCTTACAGTACTTCATCATTCACGCGACAATACTCGAACAGAAAAGTAGTGACGCGAGACGCTCCGTCAAATTCCTTTTTCAAACGTGATCGCGCCAACTATCGAGGAATAACCTGATTGATATAATTAATATGATTAATAATTAATTATCTTTTACATACGTTAAATCATACGTTAATTATATCGCGACAATAAATTTCGTGTAATTTATTTATTTAATTTTAATCAAATTTTATTTTATTTATTCAAGTACGAAACGTAGTGACAGACACCCAAAATAATATATTATCATTTTGTTGCTATCTCTCTTTATGAGCAATAATTATTTTATTAATAATATTTAACGTTAAATATATTTTGTTGTTTGGTGCTTTATCGTTCGACTTTTCAACGATCTAAATATGATTCGGATTGAGAACGTGTAATTAAATAATCGAATCGCAAGATCGAGTAACTAACTTATAAAGGCTTCATAATACATCTA